GCCCCTAAGGAGATTAAAAGGGTACACAGAACCATCCAAGAGTAGAGAACCGTTAACTTTTCCTCAAATCATAGCTCTCCATTACCAAGAATGGGAAATAGAAGAAAGAGCATGCATGGATTGTGAGGGTAATGCAGAGCATTGTATATCAAAGAAAGAATATGATATGGAGCATGACACTGGCAAAAACGATATTATAAGCAAGAGAGAAACAATGTGGATAACTTCACTGACACAAGCAACAGATTATTTCATTTACTCTACATGTTGATCTCATATATCCAGGTGAATAATTTCGACCAACCTTTAGATGCAGCAGCCCATGAAGAAACCAATAGATGTATGTTTGCTGGCTGGCTGCTGCGAAGAGGTCTGTGAAGTGTTAGTGGACTTTCAAAGGAACATGATACAGATCTAGTGTTTTAGCCAATAATTTCTAAGCTGAGCCATGTGAAGTAGTATCTCATCGCGGCCCTGGTTGGTGACACTGCTGGTCATGATCCAAGGTGGAGCAGATTGGAAGAAATCGCGAATCAAATTCTGAAAATCTTCGACATTCTCTTCAGGTCTCTTTCCTCCATTCTTCTTCTTCTTTCTTTTGTCGCACTTAGTGAAGATTAGCGTCATTGGTATCTGATGGAACAAGGTCAAGACGGATAATGTTAACCATGATAATATGAAACTTCTGGCATAGAGCCTACTAAGATAAAATTAATGAGCAGTAATGGAGCCAGGATCCAAGGGGCATTGGGATCAATATCTTACGGAGGGGTTAATATTAAGCCTAGGTCCCAAGAAAAACTAACACTGGAGACAATATCAAAGCACTACTAAAGCTAGGTCTCAAGAACAAAATAATTTCAATGGGGGCCATTTGCCCACACTTTGTTACATGTGGTTCCGAGGCTGTAAATGAGCAGCCCAATGAACATTGAATGACCTAATTCAGTACAATAGAACATCAGGTGACTTCAGGTACAGGAGACAGGAAGAGTATGTCAATGGCTATATGCTAACAATACAATGCAATACAATAATAATTCGTTGACACACAAGAGATAGTGTTCTTCATTTCAGCATCAACAAAGTTTTTTCAGCAAGCTAAATGTTGCTTTATCATATATCAAGCTAGTAGGTGGTTAATTGTTCTTCCTTGTGAAGGTGCACTCCCATCTTGATAATCAAAAATGAACCATCACTTAATGAATATTATAATACCCAGCAGGATACAGGGGGGCATACCTCATTCTGGCCAAGCCAACTAGCATATTCCAGATCAATTTTCTTTGCAGGGATGCTAGCATCTATAAGAAGAAATACTGACACCAGTGACTGCCGGTTGAGAAAATAATCTTTGGTAAACTGATCCCAATTAAACCGAACTTCATGTGGAGCCGCAGCATATCTGCTCAGTTTAAAAGCTTCTGAGAGTTAGAGGAAATAAGCTCATCTGACAAATAGCCTCTCAAGCCATAAAGAAATCAGTGAAAATGACAGAAGCTACCTCATGTCATCATGAATGCCTTCAAGTGGAGAAAAGAAATGACTGACTGGTTTGTGTATGTGTGCACAAGTGTTTGTATTAAGAACTATATGGTAGAAAAAAGGTTAATAATAAGACTATTACTTAAATACATCTAGTAATCTATAAGAACCGTGGAGTGTTTGATAACCAAAAAGCCAAATGATACTAGTACATAGAAGCACTTCAAAGCGCCATCCTCCAGAAAACATCACATACCTACCAGTTCAAATCTAGCTTACCTTTAGTCAAACTTCTAGTCCTAGATCCTATTCCTCAACCAAAAGCCAAAACGCACATCTATGTGGAACTGTATTCTTGAGAGTTTACAAAATATATGTCAATACCATCTTTTTCCTTCAGCAAAGTAGCAGTTTGAGAAAAAAGGACTGAGGCAACATAACTGATTATGATGTTCAAACATACCATGTGCAAATAATTGGACAGAGTTTGCAAGAGTGAGGACTTCAGTAAGGCCTAATTTTTTTAATTGCTGTGACTAAAGCATCCTTAAGACTAGTTTCCAACATTAAATCTCCACACACGTACTTGGAAATAATATTATGACAAATTAAACCAAAAAGTAGGAAAGCAGTGAACCAAAGAAATTTTCAGGTAAAACATCTTACATATCACACTCAATGCACCAGAGTTATTTGGGGCCAACAAGAAATTCAGATATGTTGTCTAGAGAAGGTTAAAAATTTCATTAAATTGATGTAAACTCTTTTGAGACAAACCTTGTTCATTTTTTGTAATACAAAATCTTGGTGTGCTAACCACAAGCATGACAATAACAAGATATTATCCTTCCAATACAAGACCTACTCTTCATAGTTATCAAATGTCTCTTCAAGTATCACTAGTAGAAATTTGAATTTCCTAGACGGAATATTCTAGACGGAAAATTTCCGTCTAGGATATAATATCCTAGACGGAAATTTTCCGTCTAGAATATTCCGTCTAGGATATACTATTCTAGACGGAAATTTCCGTCTAGAATAGTATTGTAGACGGATTTATTTATTTAATTTTTTTTTAAAATTAACTAAGCATCCTAGACGGAAATTTCCGTCTAGATTGTATCCCAGACGGAAATTTCCGTCTAGGATACTCAAATCAGTTTCTATTTAAAAAATCACATCCCAAAAATTCTGGCGCCTATAATTGCCGCCTCAACCCCCCATTCTCCCGCCTCATCCCTAAATTCTCCCGCCTCAAACCCTAATTTCCCAAATCCTCCGCGCCCTCCCATTCTTCTCCTCTGTTCGAAGGCCAGAACCGCCGCCCTCCCATTCTTCTCCTCTGTTCGAAGGCCAGAACCGCCGCCCTCCCGTCGTCCCCCTCGATCCCGCACCTTCCCGTCATCCTCCTCGACGTTTCGTCGTCGCCTCCCCCTCAGCTCCTCGACGTCCTCCTCCAACATCATCGTCCTGTCGTCGCCTCCCCCTAAGCCCCTCAGCTCCTCGCCGTCCCGTCATCCTCCTCGACGTTTCGTCGTCATCCTCCTTCGACATCGCCGTCCCGTCATCCTTTAGCCTCCCCGTGGGAGGAGTCCGCCTTGCTGCCGGGCAACAGTAACTTCTCCTCTCCTCTTCCTGGTCTCAAGAGGCATAGGGAGGGCCCGACCGAGACTCAGGTATGTCGAATTTGGATTTGGGGATTTTGTATGTGCTGATTTGTATCTGGTTAGATCAGATTGTGAATCTCAACCTGTAATTAATGCTCTTTATTAATTGCGGAATGTGTATGTATGTATCTAGAATGGTGGGGAGGTGAGAAACGGAGGGCTGACTCATCAGTTCAGCTTTCCTAAGACATCGTCGGAGATGGCGGCCGTGGAGAAGTTCCTGCAGTTTCAGGATTCAGTTCCCTGCAAGATCCGAGCCAATCATATAAGATGAATATGTTGTGCCCTCTTTTTAAAACTACAAATTGTTTTCGTATATTTTGACTAAAGTTAATTAGGTTCTATGATTTATAAATGATGACCAAATGCATGTATTTATATGATTGGCACGCACATGTATCAAGAAATTGACATATTATCCTTTGACTTTGTGTCTGCATTTAGGCAGTTTGCATGCGAGGTACCTCGTGTCATATTGGATTACAACAGTCGTCTATGCAAACATTTATTGGATCAATATATTTAGGAAACTTTTAATCTCAATAAAGCTTGTTAAGTATGATGGTCTTAACCCATAACTTCTGTTCTAAGTTAACTGAATAGTAAGCTACACGAAATCAATTCCAACCCTTGATTCCTTTGATGCTATTATTACACATTATACATATGTCTGATAAATAAGTCAAAAACAGATTTATTGAATTTATAATTTAAATTATTCGTGAAAGTGATATTATTAATTCAAATACGATCTGTCTAAGATTTACTGTCAAGCCAAATATTCCATTATACAAAAATTCTTCATGGTCCAAACTGGCTTAATTGATTATGCAAAAACACTGAGAAGATCAAAAACCATCTTTACCTTTTACCAGGGCAATTAATTTTATGTCGCATTTTCAGATTCAGAGTTTATCTCATTTTGAACTTATATATCCGTTAGTACTGGAAAAGAGGGGAAGAAACTATTTTTTGCTTTCATCTGTAGATTATTGTTCAGTGAACTGACATTTAGCATACAACAGACTGGAGAAACTCCTATGACCACAAAAGAGATAAAAGCATATGGGGATTTTAGTTGTGAAGATGTACTGCAAGGTCATGATGTATTTATAAACAATGTAAAGTCTCGTCTAACAAAGTTACAAGTAATCTTCAATCCGTTAATATTTTGCTTGCTGATTCTTTATGCTAGAAATTTGCAATTTTACTATGCTCTACTATAAGGCAGGAATCCATGGAAGATGGTAATTGTTATTCGAAGTAATTATGAGTTAACTATGTGGAATTACCTAGTGTTTTGTGTTTCATATTCGTCAACTTAATATTTTAGCTACTCCTATGTAGCTGCAACTGGTGATGACCACAATTTCTTTTTGAGTTTGATAATTCTTTCACTTGTTTGTAACTTTTTTTCAGCTGTCGCAATTTCCATATTTTATGCTCTTAGTACTGTCAGTAGCAATCAATATCCGTCCATGTTTATATTATTTGTCATAAATAAAAAAAAGAAGCAGGTTATCGTCCGAATAAGTCCTCTGAGAGAAATGAAAAGAGTTCTGTACATGGGCTTAGTGGCTAAACCAAAGACTTGGATTGAAGGGGTTTATGAAGGGTTTGTCCTACAAGTTATTTGGTTAATGCTTTTCGAATTTTGAGTCGAATGGGTTTTGCAGGACAATACTAGTTTACATTTCTCCGTACATGTTCTCAGGGTGATTTAAGGGACAAAGTGCAGTCTGTGCCAAAAAATTCGAATTTTTTGTTATAAATTGGGGGTAGCTCTAGAGGGTATATAATGTGCATTTCATTAATAGCCGAAACTGCTCTATTTGGTCCATGCTAGGGTTTGGTTACTATTTTTGTTTTTGATCGCTATGGAAATGTGTGTTTGGGTTATGGTAATTGTTCTGGTTCTATGTTTTTGATCTTTAGGTTTATAATGAAAATGTTCTCTTTAATGTTTTAAGAAAGGAGGGGTTTGGTACTTTGAAACAGGGAACAAATGGAAATTGTGGTCTCTTGTTAGTAAAAGAAGAATATTGATCCTTTCTTGTATGTCTCTTTGTCAATCGATCTTTGTGCGTGTTGCCTTTTGATTTTTTTTATGCAAGGATCCGAGATGGCAAGCCTTTGGGGTGAGGGGGGTTGCTTATTGAATGGGTTTATTTACTGTGATGAATGTTCACTTAAACCATAAATTCGATTATTAGTTTTATAAGATTGTCATTTATCCAATAACAAAGTGAGTAATGTTAGCTCTAGGAAATTGATCCAGTTTCATCAATGAGATAAGAAGGCTCATTGAGGAGCATGCCTCGTCTTTCCAGCTATAGCTGTTTCGAGAGATCACAAGCCTGATCAAACTGATGAGCGCCAAAGAATTGAGGATGCTGGGGGTTTTGTGACGTGGGCAGGTAATTAATGTCCCTTTCTGCATGATTTTTTCCTTTCATGTCTAGATTTTTTTATTCTTAATTTTTGTTACTGACTGTTTGAGTTTGGCAGGAACATGGCGTGTTGGTGGTGTTCTTGCTGTTTCCCGTGAATTTGGCGATATATTATTAAAGCAGTATGTTGTTGCTGATCCAGAAATTCAGGTTCGGCTCTTATCTTTGATAATTGTGACATGATAATTCATTCTTTTCTTTGGTCTCTTCTCACCAGAATGCATGCTCATATCAAGAGCATCCAACTTTCACATTATTTGGTCTACTTGCCTGATAATTTGTATGGTTTTCTGCTATTTTGGTGCAAAGTTCCTTCCAAGGAAATTATAGAAAATAAGGGAAATCCCTCAGAATTTTGTATATCTATCAATAACAATTTAAGCTTATGAAGCCAAGAAGCAAAACCATTGATATTTTACTTGACCACTACATGGTGAATATTCAGCTATCCGCTAAGGGAATATCAAATATGTGTGCATGCCTTGATTGCCTTCCTTCCTTCTCTGGATTATTATCTAAAACCCAATTTATTAATCACGAATTACAGGTTTCATGTAATACTTAAAATGACTTGTGTATCTGATTCCCTGAAGTACAATTTAGCAAAGATTTTTTTTTCTGGCATTGCCAGCTGTTTACGAAGCATTTGTAATCTAAGCTACCTATGTTATTATAAGGTTGTTGATTTGTTATGGTGCTTTACTTTTTATCTAATTCTTCTTGTATGGAGTGACTTTCCTTGTTTCTTGCCCCCCAAAGTTTACCCCTGATTTAAACTATTTTATACGACTTGTATTTGTTGTTTATGTGATAATATAATCAATTCGTTGTTTCTTATTACAGCTACATAGGGTATTTGATTTGGAAGAATTAAGGCATATATTCCATGCTTAGGTTTTGGACTAACGTGACAAAATTTGTGTGTTATACTATCAAGCTTAATTTGGAAATTAATTTCTTTAAACACTAGTATTTTTCTTATTCCTATTCATCTTGTACTACAGGAGGATATCATTGATGGCTCGCAGGAATTTCTCATTCTTGCAAGTGATGGCCTGTGGGACATTGTTACAAATGAGGTATATGCTTCATCTCAGATCATTTTCGCAGATTGGCATTTTGTTCGTTGTTATGGAGCACATTGCCTTCTGTAGTTCCTGAAGGCATCTATGCACATGCAAGGAAGATACATGCGATCATTCTGACAAAGGCGAGGAAGACGTTGAAGAGGAAGAGGCAAGGAAGATTAGGCTTGGGCTTAATAAGAAGAGTGGTGATGATGATGAGTTTGTAAACAATTTTTTCTAGTATTTTGATGAATGTATTATTTGAATATAATTTGATTTGATATTGGAATATAATTAAATTGTGTTGGATATGAATATAATTTTTTGTTGTTCAATATTGTGTACATGCATCCAACGTAGATTCTGCAAAAAAAAAAAAAATGTAGCATAGTACCCTAGACGGAAATTCCGTCTAGGATGCTCAAATTCCGTCTAGAATACCAATAAAAAAATAAAAAAAACAATTTCCGTCTAGAATGAGTATTCTAGACGGAAATTTTCGTCTAGAATACTCATTCTAGACGAAATTTTTTTCCGTCTAGAATGCATTATTCTAGACGAAAATTCCGTCTAGGATGTATTCTAGACGGTTTTGAATTCCGTCTAGGATGTATTCTAGACGGAATTTCCGTCTAGAATACTACATCCTAAACGGAAATAAACTAGACGGGTATTCTAGACGGAATTCCGTCTAGGATACACATCCTAGACGGAATTCTGTGTATCCTAGACGGATTTTTCCGTCTATGATGCCTAGTTTTTTAGCAGTGTATTAACAAATGTGTATGTTCTAAGTTCTAAAAAATAACCTTGGTTACTAAGTAAATATAAGAACCTCTAGCTATATCCTGAGTAATCAGATAAGAATGTGGCGAATATCAGCTTGATGCAAAAAAGAAACTTTTCCAAAGAAAACAAGAATGAGAGGTACAGGTTGCCTCAAGTAGGATGGCTCTAGAAATTTACATAGTAAAGTATCACCTAGAGGTTCACTATCAAGATCAAATATTAAAGGATTTTTTCATAGAAACCACCTTTAAAATAGGCTCACTCCATAGAAACCACCTTTAAAATAGGCTCACTCCATAGAAACCACCTTTCATTGTTACTTTACACATAAACC